AAAAGAAGAGCGTTTAGAGTTGCATAAAGATTCAATACAATGTTTCAATATCAATATTGAAAAATAAGCAATAATAATAATATTGAACAATTAGCTAGATACTCTTCCTTTATCTATGGCTAGATATTTAATATTTAACCAAATTTTATCCCATTCTGTATATGTATTGGCGACAAAAGTTATCCATGCGCGAATACCTTTAACGGACGACTTGTTTTCAAATTCGAACTGTTGCTCTTTTTTGACAAATTTGATTCTTGTAAAAATATTTAATTATGTAAATATTAGTTATTACTACGTATTTTAATAACCCAGGAAAATTTATTAAACTTATCTTAACATTCTCATATAAATTCAATTATATTCAAATAAAAACGTATGTAAATATTACACTTTTGATTGGTTATGTATGGATTTAACAATTTGTGAATTTATATTCATATCTGTGATAAAATTTATGTGTGCAAATATTTACATTCCATTCTGTGCCTTTCAAAACAATAATTTTCAAGTGTAGTTTATGATTAGATAATGAAATTTGTATAATTTCATTTTATCGTGACGTAAAACGTCTGGAACTAAATCTTATCACAACCATCCAGCAGCAAAATTCATTTAATTTTTGGCAAATATAAAAACAATGTCGGATATTATTGTTTTGGGATCCTGTAGTGTAGATTTCACTTGGTAAGAGCAAGATATATTTATTTTTGAATATTTTTTTATATAAATTATAATTTTATGTTAAAGTTTTGCTGCAAGGCTTCCAAAAGCGGGTGAAACTATTCATGGCAAAAAATTTATGACCAGTTTTGGAGGCAAAGGCGCCAATCAATGCGTTTCTGCTGCCAAATTGGGTGGAAAAACTGCACTAATAGCAAATGTACGATTATAGACATAATAGTTATTTATGTAAGAATTTATTAAGTTCTTTCTTATCCTTTACCCAGCTTGGGAATGACAAATGGGGCATCGAATACAAAACGTATTTAGAAAAATTAAGCATCACACTGCACAAGTACATCTAAAATCAGATTATGATACTGGAATAGCCCATATATCCGTAGCAGATCTGGTGAAAATCAATTATTGTAGCCTAGGGTGCAAATGGTAGCCTTACACCTGGACATGTGAAACAATGAAAGATATTTGGGATTCTGCTAAGATTTTGGTGTGCCAATTGGAGACACCCATAGATGCAACTCTGGCAGCTCTAAAACACTTCAAAGGAGTATGTATAAATAATATGGCAAAAAATGTGAATACAGATTTATAATGTTTGCAGATATCTATTTTAAATGCTGCTCCAGCTCAACCTTGTACAAACGATGATTTGTTGAAGTTGCCATCAATTTTTTGTGTGAACGAAGTAGAAGCATCTATTATATCAGGAATTGATGTTAGCAATGTAGAGTAAGTTTAACAATGATTAAATTAATAATTATATTTTTACTGTAATTATTTTGTTGCAGAGAAGCAAACACACCGCTATTTCTATATTTTTGGCAAAGAGGTTGCCGGACAATTATCGTAACTCTGGGTGCAGAAGGGGCAGTTTTTGCCAGTCAAGAAGATCCAGTTCCAATTTTTGTTCCTGCAAAGAAGTTGCTCCTACTGATACAACGGTTTGTTTTGAGTTTTTTTTTTATTATTTAAAAATTCAATGTAAGAATATTTTATAAACATGGTTTCAAATATTTAAGTTCAATTTAACAGATATATTTAGATTCATTGATTTTCATTACTCTTCCGACTGTGAAGTGCCATGTGTTTCTTCAAATTGCCTGGTTGATTAAATCCCTTATGCATATTTCACATTTATAAGGAGTCTCTCCATTATGAATCCGCAAGTGTTGTTTCAGAGATCTTAATTGCTTGAATTTCTTATTACAAGTATTGCATTCATGAGGACGTACTTCATTGTGTATTAGCATGTGATCTTTCAGATGATTTATTTGTATGAATGTCTTCTTGCATATGCTGCACTCATAGGGACGCTCACCACTGTGAATGCGCATGTGAGTTTTCAGAGTACTTGAATATGTGAATGTCTTCTTGCATATACTGCACTCATGGGGGCGCTCACCACTGTGAGTGAGCATGTGATCTTTCAGATAACTTATATGTATGAAAGCCTTATTGCATATACTGCACTTATGGCAACGCTCACCACTATGATTGAGCATGTGTCTTTTCAGAGCACCTAACTGTGTGAATGTCTTCTTGCATACATTGCACTCATGGGGACGCTGACCACTGTGAATGAGCATGTGTGTTTTTAGATGCCTTTTTTGTGTGAATGTCTTATTGCATTCATTGCATTCATAAGGATGCTCACCACTGTGAATGAGCATGTGATTTTTCAAAATAAATAATTCTGTGAATGTCTTCTTGCATATACTGCATTCATGGGGGCGCTTACCACTATGAGTGAACATGTGACTTTTCAGATGGCTTAATCGTATGAATGTCTTATTGCATTCATTGCATTCATGTGGACGTTCATCCCTATGAGTAAGCATGTGATTTCTCATACTACCTAATTGTGTGAAGGTCTTCTTGCATATACTGCACTCATGGGGACGCTCACCACTGTGAATGACCATGTGAATTTTCAGAATACTTGAATATATTTGTTATTTATATATTTTGGAAATTCTGAACTTTTTTTTCAAAGAAATCGTACTGCTTTAACTGCATAGAGACGAAATATAGAAGCGCGTAAGCGCCGCGCCGCCGTCTAACGGATAAGCATTAGTACGGAACCCATAGGAATGTAAACAAAAATTATACTTATTGTTAAAATGTCTATAAAATATCTAATAATTTGATGTGCATATGTCTAATGATCATTTTTGACCGCCAGATGGCATTTTTTTTTACTTTTTTCACTAGATGTCCGAAACCGCTAGACCTGCCTTTATGAAAATTTGATCGGTTATTCATCTTGTTATAGCAAGTAAAATGCTTTTTGAATTATTGAAATCGGACGCTCCGTTTTCTTAAAAACTGAGTTACCGTTTTTGGCACTTTTTATTCCATATCTTCGGAACGGCTAGACCTGCCTTCGTCAAAAACTAATCAGCACGTCTCCTTATCAATACGAATCGAATGTTTTTTGAATTATTCAAATCGCTTCATCCGTGTTCCCGAAATTGTCGACGAAAATTTATATCCGCATACACATACACACACGCACACACACACAAACACATACATCCATTTTTTCTAAGGTATGTCAAAATATTCAGAAACCTCTAAAACGTAAAGATATATAAAAAATTTCATTTTCGATTTTTTTGCGATTACTATAACTTACCCTACGGGAAGTAAAACAAGATACAGTAATAATGTTAACGCTGAATGTTTATTGAAATTATTAAATTTACTTCAACGTACTTAAAACATACTTAAGTATAATGATTAATTAAATAAAGAAATGCAGTAAACATTTTTAAGGTTAAGTGCCTTAAAGCTTATGCCATAATCTCGGAATAGTTCTTAATAAAAACAATATAATAATGATAAAAATATTTTATTAATAGAATAAGTAAATAATAAATTAATTTACTTTATTTAGCCATTTTTTTATTATTTTTGGTCAAACTAAATACTTAGACATTATTATAAAGGCATGATTTGGATATTATTATTGAGACCCATCAAATAAAATTGCAGGAAAAAAACTACATTAACTTTTTGAGACTTGTAAATTGAAGGAAATATTGTTGACAAGTAGGTAGGACCCATACCTCGTCCGATTCACTGCAAATGCGATCGTAGGGCTTGGGGAACCCACGGTGATCTATCAGTACTACAAATATATATTTTGCATTTTTTCAGCATTGTATTAATTAAACTGCTTGCAAAATAAACATTTTTCACTATGTGATAACTTTCATTTTTCTTTTAATCATAAAAATACAATTATTATATTATAAAATGTAATTAATATATAGACAACAGTTATACATAATCAATATACAATATATAAATATATATTTTTCATTATTTCAGCCTTGTATTAATTACATTGTTTGCAAAACAATTTTTTCTAGTAAGCATTAAATTTTGTTAATATAACAATTTATTGACTTATAATTTTTCTTTTTACTAAACATAACAATTTTACAACTATTCATAATACTCCGAATTGTATTTTTATAACAATAAGGTTATGATACTTACTTTATTCTTCTAACGGCAGCGATCTGTTTTTCCCATTGATTTTCTTTCCACGTAGCTGTAGAAAATGTATAGAATTTGCAGTCACTTTTTCTGCTGGTATTTCTACAACCCACTACACAACAGCTATGGTGGCTCATTTTTAATTATTTTATTTAAATTTGAAATAAACAAATATTTTATGTGTTTTTGTTTAAAATTTCAGTTATAATAGCCCCATTTAGTGCTCCAAGTTAGCCGCAACGAACACTTCGGTCGATTTGACTTCCCCTTCGCACATAGCCTATATGAACACGGGGTATTCTAATATTGTCTAGGGTTGAACTTGAACATCGTATATTATTATATTAAATATCTAATAATAATTAATATCTAATAATTCTAATATTGTCTAGGGTTGAACTTGAACATCGTATATTATTATATTAAATATCTAATAATAATTAATATCTAATTAAATATCTAATATTCTAATATTGTCTAGGGTTGAACTTGAACATCGTATATATTATATTAATATCTAATAATAATTAATATAATTAAATATCTAATAATTCTAATATTGTCTAGGGTTGAACTTGAACATCGTATATTATTATATTAAATATCTAATAATAATTAATATCTAATTAAATATCTAATAATTCTAATATTGTCTAGGGTTGAACTTGAACATCGTATATTATTATATTAAATATCTAATAATAATTAATATCTAATTAAATATCTAATAATTCTAATATTGTCTAGGGTTGAACTTGAACATCGTATATTATTATATTAAATATCTAATAATAATTAATATCTAATTAAATATCTAATAATTCTAATATTGTCTAGGGTTGAACTTGAACATCGTATATTATTATATTAAATATCTAATAATAATTAATATCTAATTAAATATCTAATAATTCTAATATTGTCTAGGTTGAACTTGAACATCGTATATTATTATATTAAATATCTAATAATAATTAATATCTAATTAAATATCTAATAATTCTAATATTGTCTAGGGTTGAACTTGAACATCGTATATTATTATATTAAATATCTAATAATAATTAATATCTAATTAAATATCTAATAATTCTAATATTGTCTAGGGTTGAACTTGAACATCGTATATTATTATATTAAATATCTAATAATAATTAATATCTAATTAAATATCTAATAATTCTAATATTGTCTAGGGTTGAACTTGAACATCGTATATTATTATATTAAATATCTAATAATAATTAATATCTAATTAAATATCTAATAATTCTAATATTGTCTAGGGTTGAACTTGAACATCGTATATTATTATATTAAATATCTAATAATAATTAATATCTAATTAAATATCTAATAATTCTAATATTGTCTAGGGTTGAACTTGAACATCGTATATTATTATATTAAATATCTAATAATAATTAATATCTAATTAAATATCTAATAATTCTAATATTGTCTAGGGTTGAACTTGAACATCGTATATTATTATATTAAATATCTAATAATAATTAATATCTAATTAAATATCTAATAATTCTAATATTGTCTAGGGTTGAACTTGAACATCGTATATTATTATATTAATATCTAATAATAATTAATATCTAATTAAATATCTAATAATTCTAATATTGTCTAGGGTTGAACTTGAACATCGTATATTATTATATTAAATATCTAATAATAATTAATATCTAATTAAATATCTAATAATTCTAATATTGTCTAGGGTTGAACTTGAACATCGTATATTATTATATTAAATATCTAATAATAATTAATATCTAATTAAATATCTAATAATTCTAATATTGTCTAGGGTTGAACTTGAACATCGTATATTATTATATTAAATATCTAATAATAATTAATATCTAATTAAATATCTAATAATTCTAATATTGTCTAGGGTTGAACTTGAACATCGTATATTATTATATTAAATATCTAATAATAATTAATATCTAATTAAATATCTAATAATTCTAATATTGTCTAGGGTTGAACTTGAACATCGTATATTATTATATTAAATATCTAATAATAATTAATATCTAATTAAATATCTAATAATTCTAATATTGTCTAGGGTTGAACTTGAACATCGTATATTATTATATTAAATATCTAATAATAATTAATATCTAATTAAATATCTAATAATTCTAATATTGTCTAGGGTTGAACTTGAACATCGTATATTATTATATTAAATATCTAATAATAATTAATATCTAATTAAATATCTAATAATTCTAATATTGTCTAGGGTTGAACTTGAACATCGTATATTATTATATTAAATACCTAATAATAATTAATATCTAATTAAATATCTAATAATTCTAATATTGTCTAGGGTTGAACTTGAACATCGTATATTATTATATTAAATACCTAATAATAATTAATATCTAATTAAATATCTAATAATTCTAATATTGTCTAGGGTTGAACTTGAACATCGTATATTATTATATTAAATATCTAATAATAATTAATATCTAATTAAATATCTAATAATTCTAATATTGTCTAGGGTTGAACTTGAACATCGTATATTATTATATTAAATACCTAATAATAATTAATATCTAATTAAATATCTAATAATTCTAATATTGTCTAGGGTTGAACTTGAACATCGTATATTATTATATTAAATATCTAATAATAATTAATATCTAATTAAATATCTAATAATTCTAATTTGTCTAGGGTTGAACTTGAACATCGTATATTATTATATTAAATATCTAATAATAATTAATATCTAATTAAATATCTAATAATTCTAATATGTCTAGGGTTGAACTTGAACATCGTATATTATTATATTAAATATCTAATAATAATTAATATCTAATAATTCTAATATTGTCTAGGGTTGAACTTGAACATCGTATATTATTATATTAAATATCTAATAATAATTAATATCTAATTAAATATCTAATAATTCTAATATTGTCTAGGGTTGAACTTGAACATCGTATATTATTATATTAAATATCTAATAATAATTAATATCTAATTAAATATCTAATAATTCTAATATTGTCTAGGGTTGAACTTGAACATCGTATATTATTATATTAAATATCTAATAATAATTAATATCTAATTAAATATCTAATAATTCTAATATTGTCTAGGGTTG